ATTTTTTGTGCATATATTAATGAATATTTTATGAATATCAGTGAAAATTCCATGATTATTTATGTTACCTTAAATATTGTATATAAGTGTTATATGCGAGAGGATAATATTTAAGGATAATAATCAAAACGATGTTCGTAATGAATTTAATTAAAGTTCAGAATCTTTAACTAAAACATTACTAATGCAGGTCATTTCCATTTAGAATGGAACGGTGTTATCCGCACAATTAATATAGCGAGATATTGAATGAGTATATTATGCATAATAAGATTATGTGGAACAGGGACACCGACACAATATGAATTTCTGATAATTTTCGTTAAATATAGAAATTCTAATTGAGTCTACCGATGGTCATATATAAAATGATCTTAATCATGAGTTCTTAGTAGACTCCTATTTATAGATTTATGTCTTTTGATTTACTTGGTACGGATTTTGAGATCCTGAGTCCTATTCCTTATATTTTGGAGACATAATGAAGTGAGTAGCTGAGAATGTTATTATACGAGTTGTAATCCATTTCTTCTTGAAAAGGAAGTAGATAAATAATTCTCTTGAGGGTTGATTCGGTACTTGGACCAGTAGGAGTGCTCCGATTCATGAATTTATTTTATGAATCACTGTCCATTAGAGAATCAATGGTACTTAAGGATAAAGATGTAATTAGAGAGGTTAACGGATTTCACCTAGCTCTAATTATGAATTATTTATGAATGATTGAACAACATGCAATGACTATATCAAGTGGACACATCACTGTTTAGAAGTAATTTATGTTTATAATTACAAGAGTGCAATTCTAAGTTTATAATGGAGTAACTTTTGGAATTAGTAGAATTAATTAATAAATTAAAGAGTTTAATTAATTATTAATTTTATTGGAGCTCAAAATTATAGGTCTATGAGTCTCCACGTCGTCTTTGTAATTCTACAAGACATTAAGGACAAAATGAAAATTTTAGAATTATGGAATTCTAAAATAAAACACTCAAGGATAATTAATTAAAATTAATTATAAATCAATTAATATAGCGAGATATTGAATGAGTATATTATGCATAATAAGATTATGTGGAACAGGGACACCGACACAATATGAATTTCTGATAATTTTCGTTAAATATAGAAATTCTAATTGAGTCTACCGATGGTCATATATAAAATGATCTTAATCATGAGTTCTTAGTAGACTCCTATTTATAGATTTATGTCTTTTGATTTACTTGGTACGGATTTTGAGATCCTGAGTCCTATTCCTTATATTTTGGAGACATAATGAAGTGAGTAGCTGAGAATGTTATTATACGAGTTGTAATCCATTTCTTCTTGAAAAGGAAGTAGATAAATAATTCTCTTGAGGGTTGATTCGGTACTTGGACCAGTAGGAGTGCTCCGATTCATGAATTTATTTTATGAATCACTGTCCATTAGAGAATCAATGGTACTTAAGGATAAAGATGTAATTAGAGAGGTTAACGGATTTCACCTAGCTCTAATTATGAATTATTTATGAATGATTGAACAACATGCAATGACTATATCAAGTGGACACATCACTGTTTAGAAGTAATTTATGTTTATAATTACAAGAGTGCAATTCTAAGTTTATAATGGAGTAACTTTTGGAATTAGTAGAATTAATTAATAAATTAAAGAGTTTAATTAATTATTAATTTTATTGGAGCTCAAAATTATAGGTCTATGAGTCTCCACGTCGTCTTTGTAATTCTACAAGACATTAAGGACAAAATGAAAATTTTAGAATTATGGAATTCTAAAATAAAACACTCAAGGATAATTAATTAAAATTAATTATAAATTAAATAATGTGATTATTTAAATTTAAATTTGAATTTTGAAACACACATATGAAGGTGTTCACATGGTGTGAACTCACAGCACAATGTGAATCCCTTTTGAGATTCAAATTGCTTGCTCTCTATAGTTATCCAATTAACTTATTTGATAAGTTGTCGGATTTGAAATCAAATTGATTTAAGTTTAACTTAAATTAGAATTTAAATTTAAGTTACAATTAGACTGCAGGATAAATTTTTGAGAAGTGGATTTGTTTTAAAATCAAATTTAAAGCGGGAGATAATTAACAAACTTTATCTTGGAGATAAAGATCAGACTCCTTCTAGGAGTCTGACTACTACTCTATAAAAATAAGAGATTGTAGAAAATTATGAGACATAATTTTTGCTCTCTCCTAGCATTATTGGCCGGTTTCTATAGCGTGTGGGAAATAAAAATTTTCTCTAAATATTCCACGTCATGCATGTGTTGGTGTTCGTAGAAACCTTGAGTGTTTATTCGCTAATCCCGTTTTGTTTCAGGTGTGCCCACACACATGTCTTTGTAGATTCAATGAATTGACTAGGAAGATTCAGGTGTTCTAAACTAAATTCGAGTGAGGAACGTTCGAGGTCAAAGAATTCAAAATATCGTCCTAATTGGTTGCTAGGTAAATAAATTAATTTGATTAATATATTCATGCATAAATTAATGTAATCTCTAGAGTATATCAAAGTTTTATGAAATTTTTGTTATATACGATCTGTTAATCACACACTTCCACATCTGAAATCGTTTTGGAAACCAACAGTTACTATTTACACTTTATAGTTTTGTTTTACTATGGTACTACTTAGGTAAATAATTTAGGTTAATCTGTTATAAGTCATTATAATGCTCAATTACCGTAAACATGAATAGTACCTGTATGCGTGAACAATGCCCGCATACGTGAATAGTTCCCGAATGCATAAATAGTCATTATATGCATGAATAGTACTCATATGTGTGAATAGTACCCCTATACGTGAATAGTACCGTATATGTGAATAGTATCCGTACATGTGAATAGTCCTATATGCATGAACCATACCGTATGACTAAACAATACCGTACTATACCCATGAATGTCATATATGTGAACTTTACGGACTCTGGACAAAGGACTGAAGGACCAAATGGACAACATGACTGGACAAATTTATGAACTTGAAAGTGAAGTAAAAATGGAATAGCAGTACTATATGTTTAGTTATTATGTTAGTATTATTAAGCTATTTTGGTTACTGATATAGTATTGTGATTGTTATTATATTAGTTAGGAGTATATTTTCCTACAGGAAGCTGAAACAAGGTAACTATTATTAGGGATTGTTCTTTTGGAGTGTAACTTGAGTGTAGTTTTTGAGTTGAATTTGAGTTATAACTTGAGTTGAAGTTAGAACTTGAATAAAGTTGAGTAAAATTGAATAAAGTTGAAACTTAAAAGAACGTGAACTTGAATAAAGTTAAAACTTGAGTTGTTTTTTTTTAGTTTTTTAGACAGAAGAACATGCCCTAAAGTTCTCACCTACAACACAAGTTAAAATATATTGAAAATTATTCTCAGTGCGTTTATACTTGCTATATTCTGGTTTTAACTTCTCATACACTATCTTTGCATTTACTATGTTGAAGCATTGCATTCACTTTAAAGTTGAAAGATAATAAGAGATGTTGCCTAAGTAATTATTCAGAAATTATTTCAAGGTCAGGTGCCTTCACAGAAGCGCAGAGCTCAAAAGAAGTTATTAAGCTAATAGTTGGCAATTAAAGAAGTTAAAGTTTACTCTGGCACTATTCTCCAAGGCCCTAAGATGAACAAAAAGAATGAAGCAAAGTATGACCATAAATGAGTTTTAACTTTCAAGTGAGATAATGACTTTGCTTACTGAACGTTAGCTCATCAGTTTATTTATACTTGTGTTGTAGGTAAGGGAAAAAGTACATTGAATTAAACTGGAGAATGAGCAAGTTGCCAAGCTGACGTGTTAGTACATATGGAACCGACCTTCTGGGAGAAAAGTTTAAAAAGAGGCACCATTATATTTTAAATAATTACGAGTGTGTATTTAAGACTTTATGGTGTGAAATTTTATGTAGTATGTTATGTAACAAAAGTTTAAATTTATTCAGATTTTTGTGTAGTACGTGTTATCAACTATTGTAATATATTTGAATATTCGTATATTTGTAATAGTTACATTTTAAAAGGGGGATGTTACATAATGGTATCAGAGCAAGGTCGGTTCTGCAGATAACCCCATATGTATAAATATGAAGGTGAAGGTACAATTCATCAGTAAGTTTTAAGAATTAAACCTATGATAATTAGAAGATAGGAGTAGATAGACTATTTCCTATAAGGATATAGATAGAATATTTATCTATTAATTTATATATTATTTTTGTTTTTATAATCTAAGATTTTAGAAGGAATACCATGGAATGACAGACATCTGTCGATGCGATATCCGCACAAAACCCTAGGACGATTGATGAACTTGCCAAAATGATAGAACAACAAGGCGCACTTCTGAAAACTAAATGGTGGCCAACAACAATAACGGAAGTAAAAATTTAATAAAGGGAGAAATTTTGCAAGAGTTATTGATGTTCAAGGGGCAAAAAACTGAAACTAAAGTTCGATGAATATTTTTATGAAAAGGCTTGTAATTCGGGGGCAACCGTGTAACTATTTGGCTAAAAAAAAAAAATCTATAAATCAGAGATGCACTGAGTGGTTGGAGGAAATTGGGCCTAGTGGGGCAATGTTCTTTATTTTTTATATTCATAAAAATTCTTTAATTTATTTTTATTTATGTCCCCTCCATAACCGGAAAAAAAAATGCATACTATCACCCTCATTAATGTAATTTAAAATTTAATTAAACGTTTTATTAATGCTCTTTATTAACAAAAATTACATGTCGAGTTAAAATTTCATTAAACTAAACTCCAATCATTTAAAGAAAAAAAAATCTAAAATGTATTATTATTAGATCCATGAAATTATATTTTAAACATCTAAAAATCTTAAAGTTTAACGTGTGGGCCTGGTGGCTCTGCAAAAATCTTTACTTCTTTCCATTTTGCTTCAGCATACTTTAACATATTACATATATCCCTAATTTGTGTGGATATTACAATGACAGATTAGTAACGTCCAAAACAGGGACTCTGGCTCTCTCTCCCAAAAAGTCTATTCAAGATCCCAAAACATCTCATTAACAAATAGGGTACTGAGCGATTCCATTGGAAGAAGTAGGAGAAAGACAGAAATATTAAAAAAAAAAAAAAGCATGGAAGAGAGCTTACTATTATTGCCAAAACAAAGAGGAGAAGAAGAAGAGAAAAAAATTAGCTCAATTAGTACTAGTACTAGTTCTAGTAATACTTCTTTAACATGGGGTGTTTTTTTTCAAGAAGTGAAGAGATTGGGATTCATAGCAGCACCACTTGTGGCTGTGGTTTTGTCCCAGTATTTGTTGCAGGTCATTTGCATCATGATGGTCGGTCATCTCGGCGAGCTTTCTCTCTCTAGCACAGCCTTATCCATTTCTCTCTCTACGGTCACCGGCTTCAGTGTTCTTGTTAGTTCTAATATCTCCTTTCATCTTCTTAATTTTGTTTTTTGAGTGATATATATGCAAAATTTGTTTTTGTTTTTTTTTTCCCCTTAAAAAGTATATGTCAGATCTATCTATCTATCTATCTATCTATCTATCTATCTATATATGTATGTATATATAATTTTGTCTGTTGATTTTCATCTTCTTAATTTAATAATCTTTGTCCTTTCTTTCTTAACTTGATCCTGATCAGGAATTAAAAAAAGAAAAAAGGTTCTGTCATGTTGTATTTGTCGATTGTTGTGTTCTGCATTTTTTTTTTTTAATTTTGACGTGATTTTAATGAGAACTAACAAATAGCAGTATGAGATCCTTCCGACTTCCGTAGAAAGACTTCGTATATATGATTGGTTTACGAGTCTTCTGATCATATGTACATGTTTGATACGCCGATTTTGATGATAATATGCTAGAATCTTTGCTTTTCTTGTGATGAAGGTTTATTTATTTATTTATTTATTTTGCGGAGAATTTTTATGGTACTTCGTCACCCTTGACGTGGAAAGGAGGGGCAAACCACAGTCGGTTTGCACACGGGAGAGATATCAATGTGTGAACAGTTTTCATCTTTGAATGAATTTGCACATGCTTGACCTTAAGAAGACTGAAATGGTGGTCCTAATTGTTTATGTCCATAAAAGGCTTATATTATAACCTATATATCTGTGATTTTCAACAAAAAAAAACCTATATATCTGCATATCCATCTACAAGACAATACACACACATACATTGATGTCGGTAATTGGCTGGCCCATGTGGAAGAA